TAGGTTGATAACGCTAGGATGGTCGTACGGAACCGTTGTTACTATCGTAACTTTTCTGCGCCTGGTATTTAATTATTATTTCCCTTATTATTTCCTACTAGCGCTAGTGTCATTTTTAGTGTTTGAAACTGGTTCTATTTTACATATGTAAAATCAATTAAAACCGGGGTTATATGAAAAATAAAATTGGTTCCAAATTCTAGTCATTTTCCTGATTTGTCTCTTACAATGTATTATTATCACCACTTCCTCCGCATAAATTATGACAATCAATAGATGTTCACCATATATCTTAATTAGATGGTGGGTTAAAGGATGACGCGAGGTTGCTATGGTGGATAAATAATTTGCGTGCTAATATCATTGAGAGAAGGTGTGTTGTAAAAGGTGGGCGCTAGTAATGTAATATTGAATGTCGAAATAGGAAGAATGATGCCAGAGGTAATTCTTACCGTATTTTCGCGAAATAACGCCCATCTGTGCATTATTTTGAGTATATGCGCGTTAATTAGAATACGCGCATGGGCGTTATTTCGAGACAAAGATTGTTTTTTTAATAAACCTGCTTTTCCAAGTAGCGACCATGTGCGTTATATGGTGAATGGTCTAGGAAACCTTGCCTTTTAACACTTTTGGTCGATTTTAGGATTTTCAATTCAAATTAAAATATTGGTTATTTATACGAAGTACACTTTATTTTAGAAGACGTAGTGCTCTAAAAATATAAGAACAAGATTGTCGATTTAACTAGCCGAATTGAATTCAAGCATGTGACCTTGTTCATAAAATAAATCAAATCTGGGATTGAAATGTCGTGTAATGCAAAAAAATAATCACATTTTTTAAAAGCTCAAATTATCTGTCAAAGACTGGTTTTCCTAGACTATATCACAGATACTGTATATATGTTGTTAGGGTGTTTCATGCAAGTCTAATTACAAACATAGTGCAGGTGGTATAGTGATAATCATTAATCCGATTTTTTTATAGGAAACATTTTTAAGATCTGCACTTAATATTAAAGACCATAGGAAAATCGCCTTCTCTCGCTTTTAATTCCTCTCGTAATATCTAACATTTTAACATTTTTTAATTCTGTAAATACAAAATGCTTAATAAAAGGCGTCTTTACATCGTAACAACGTTAGAATTCTATTTTACTTATTATGAACGTCTTCAATTTGAAGTTGAATTACTGAATTTAATCTACTAAATAAAATCATATGACCGATTTTATTTTTGTTGTACAAGATAACGATAAAGATTTCAAGAATCAAAGAAAAAATTTACAATTTAACGTTAAATTAAAAACTCTATTTATTGTACAGTATGACTTATTAAGTTTGGTTTTTTTGTTATGCCGCCAGGAGAGAAAGCTGCTAAGAATTTCATAAGTCTTTTCTTCTTTAGAAACCATATTCCTTTCTAATTGCTTGGTAATTTCAGGATCCTTAGTATTTTGCCAAATGTCTTGTAACATGGTTTGAGAAATTCCCTGTAATCCACCATCCAGGCCCGAGAGTTGAATACGTGATTCCTATAATTGAGCATTCATATTTGGGTGAACTTTCATGTTATAGCGATTGAACAACCCTTCTATTTGTTGTTGATGTACTGCAATATTCTAAATACAAAATTTAATGAATTCGTATATAAGAGGAAACTTTGCTGGTTCTGCTATATTAGAATTAGCAAATGCTTCAAATTCTTCAAAAAAATCGCACTGTGTAAGTGTTTCTAATAGTCCTAACGTAGCTAAATATCCATTAGACAGGTCTTTTTCCAAAAGCTTGACATAAGAGATTTCTTCACAAGTAGGAATTTTTAAAAAACTTTTATTAAAAAATACAGTCAAAAAAGCATGAGCAAATGCGGGATTATTTACACCACCTAAATAGCAAATGCATAGAGGTAAATGAATCCAGACTTCCATCCATTTGACGAATCTATTTAATGCACCTTCTATTCCAGTATATAATGATGTATGAAAGTTTTTAAAATCTGTCGCATTCAATTCATGTTTAGCATTAGCTAATTCATTACTGAATAATTCATGAATATTTTCTAAACAATGCTGAAGCTTTTGAATCTATAGTATTGTTTTATCTAGCATTTCATGTACACGGTTGCCTGGTAGAAGAGTGTATACATTATTTGGTTGGTGAATTTGTGGAATCAGGTCATGTCCAATCAGAAAATTATAAACAGGCTCATAAAATTTCTGACTGAATTTAACGAGACATTGTATTTGAAGGTTAAGTAGCTTATCCGTAAGCCATGTAAGAAATAATTGCTACTTAGTTAAGTATGATTTTGGAACATCTTTGGCATTTTCGAGTTGTTCAATAAAGAAGTGTGCAAAGCGGGTATGGACTTCACATCTATTAAGGTATTGTTTGGCAGTTTTAAGCTCATATAACCACCATTGACAAATAGGCTGTTGATATTGATACATTTCAAAGTTAAACACAATTTTATAGAGTTCTTTTAACATTCTAGATTTTAGGTTTAACAGACTGTCTTTATCTGAAATATTATATCTATTATGAAGATAGAAAGCAAGATTAAGTAAATTATATAGATGCTTTTTTAATGATAATCCTTTGACAGAATCTAATTTTCTAAATGCTGTATTTTCAAAATGTGTTAAAGCAATGTGGATTGCATGCAATCCACAAGGGAAATAATAATAAAGAGAAATTAAAATAATTAAATACCAGGCGCAGAAAAGTTACGATAGTAACAACGGTTCCGTACGACCATCCTAGCGTTATCAACCTA